TACTCCGCCGAAAACAGGAGCGTAATTACTGTCAAAAATAGTGACACCGGGGTATATTTAAGTTTGTAATTTCTCGCTTCCTGAGATTTTTACTTTTTAATTCTTATTTTCCTTATCGTCAACCTCCAAAATTCTCTTATTGCCATTGACAGAAAGGTAAATTGATTTCTAGAAAATCAAAGAGGGAAAATTGGGTTCAATGACATGAGAATTCGGGCCTGGGCAAAAGGTGTCTCTTTATGAAATAGAGAAATGACAGGGACCATCCTGTTCAATAGTCAATCTCTTAACATTTTTGAGATTCCAGTAAAATCTGGTAAATGTAGAAAATAATTCTAATTTACTCAAAGGGTTATTTGTGAGATGACTTTTGTGTAGGTTGAATTTAAAAGTGACAGGTATATCGAGTCAATTCGATTTTTATTTTGGTTGACGTTGTAGTTTTCTGCTGTGAGTGAACGGAAAGTCGAATCTGCGCAGGTGTGATGATCGTTCTTTTCTGCTCGTAAGGCGATTACCGGGAAACGTCTCGATTTTGAATTCGCTCGGAAGTTTTTCATGAAAAGGGAATACAATAATATAAATAAATAAATTCTATAAATAAATATTTTGACCAGAACTGAGAAATTGCTGCAGCTATTGTTGATCGGCGCGAGGGAGTTTGTTTGTTTACAATTTCATAAATTAATTTTGTTTATTAATTTCCTTAAAAATTTTGCCACGTCACAAGGGCTAGGATACAGAATCAACGAAAAAATTTGAGGTAATATCATTTTTCATTTAATTTTGACTAGACGCACGCAGTTGTGGTCACCGCCCAGAATCAGGCTGAAAAGCTGGAGGTGCTCGGACGCATAAAAATTGGTTTTATGTCATGCCCGATCAGAAGGAGGCTTATGATAGTGAGGTGTCATCGATGCCTCGGCTATGGTCACCTAGCAAGAGAATGTAACATGACGGATAGATCGATTGCAAGAGGAATGCTTCGTGCTTTTTGTGTAAGGAGAAGTTCCCAGAAACGGAAAACGTTCATCACGTTGCGGGAAGTGGAACTTGCAGGGTCTTCCGAACTGCCCTTGAGGAGGCGAAGAAGACTTTCGCAAGGGCCAAAAGTATAAAAAGGCGTAATTTCACACCATAACTTTTATGTCTTTAATCAGCTTTTTATTTTTGTTCTGTTTAATTTAAATTACTCTGTGATTTTCATTTGTCCTTTTACAATTTTAATTTATTTTGTGATTTTTATTTTTCCTTTTACAATTTTATCTTTTGAATTTTACTTTCAATATGGTTACTTTCTTGTTTCTGTTGCCTATATGTCTATTTACAATTTTATTTTTATATTTTTTTCTTACACTTTTTTAACATTGGTTTTTTTCATTGTTGTGTTGTGAATGCCGCTTTGACATTGAAATAGTTTTAAATTTGAACTAATGACGCAGGAGAACCGCAGAGAAAGAACAAAGTCGCATCAGCGACAGATTTGGAGCGCCACCCTCGAAGGCTAAAGTCTGACGACAGTTGCGAGGGAGGGTAAAGGTTTAGACTACATTTTCTTGACTGCTTTTTTCGACTGATCTGCTGCTGATGGTCTGGCTCTTTATATACCAAAATTTGCCTGTGTATTTTAGAAATTGTTCGGTTTGCCATGTATTTGAGGAACCGTTCGCTTTTCCATGCATTTTAGAAACCCTTTGTTATAGGAACACTTGTGGTGACTCATTATTAGATGGCACGTGTACATTCCCCATTACTCATGTTATTTAATAATTTATTACAAATTGTTATTTGTTAATTAATTGTTTAAATTTGTTATTATTTATTATTACAATTCTGTTGTTGTTGATATTTATTATTGTTTATTATTATTTGTTAAAGTTGTTGTTGAAATTTTTATAATTAACTATTTATATTACATTTTGTTATTATTTGCTAATATTTATTATTACAATTTATTATTGTTTATGTTTATTATTATTGTTTGTTATATTTATGTATTATTATTTATAATAATATGTAAATAACAATTAGTTATTAACTTTTATTATTATTAATTATTATTCTACATATTATTATCAATATTATTGAAAATAGGTTAAGGTGACGTAACACCTCCCCCTTCGAAAATTTGAAAATTAGAAAATGAAATTGAACAATTTCCAAATTCAAACTTGTATAAAACTTATTTAAATCGAAATGTTAAGTTAATTGTTACAATGTATTAGATTGATTCTTTATGAAATTACAATTAGTAAATTTAACTATTATACATGATTTTAAATTATTTAGATATTTGAGATTTTCTTTTTATCATATTTTTGATTTAATCGTATTAACATTATTTTCGCTCATTTTCTCTTAATTTCTTTTTTGTTTTGTAATTTTCAATGTAATTTTTGTCTTGTTCAATAGAACAAGTAGCAATTGTTTAAAGATTTTTAGTTCATGCTTTTTCTGTTATCTACTGGGTTAATAATTTTTTTTATTCGTACTTATACAATATTTGACTCTTTACACTACATAATATTTAAAATTTACACATGCAACTAAAAGAAAATTTTATTTGACTCGACTAAGTTACTTATATGAAAATATGTTTAATTGTTTGTATTGATAGCAAGATATTGAGTTTTACATTTTATGATAAGGTGCACTCGTTGGATCGAAGAGTTACACTCGAGATCCGTGATTTGGATTGCCTTACCCAAGAAGCCGAGGTGCAACAAGTGTTGTCGGAAGCGATAGGAAAGACAGGATGCAGGAAAGTGACGGTCTTAGCACCCAACCGCCGAGGGATGAAGCTCGCGGTTGTAGTCACCAACCCGGAAAAGGCAAACAGGCTGGGGAAATTGGGACACGTAAAAATTGGTTTTATGTGTTGCCCAATTAAAAAAAGAGTAATGGTCGTCCGGTGTCATCGATGCTTGGGATACGGTCATATTGGAGCGAAATGACAGAAGGTGGACAGATCGGATGCGTACTTTAAGTGCGGTGAAGCCGGTCACAGGTTCTCCAACTGTAAGAAGAGCCCATGTTGCTTTTTATGCAAGAAAAAGTTTGGCAATAAGGTGTCAACCACCCATATTGCAGGCAGCGGAGGATGCGGAGTGTTCAGGACGACCCTTGAGGATGCAATTACGATGCAATTTCGCAAATTGAAAAAAAAATGTTTGTTTAACCAAAAAAAAATTCCCAAAAATGACCAAAATAACCATTTTTTGGCTATTTAAGGCAATATTACAAGAAATCCTGACGTGATGGGTCATTTTGGAAATCGGATTCGTATTCTACGTCAAAAAAGCTATAAGAATCACCTACCACTTTTTCTGTAACAGAACTAAGCCAAAATTTGCAGGCCTGTGTTATTGATTTGACGTTGAAGTCGAAATAATGCAGTCCTCGGAAAAATAGAGATGTGTCCAGATGTGTCTCGCAGTAGAAATTATCTCGTTGAATGAACTTGACTTAGACGAGACTTGAAGAATACATTTGGTACTTGAAGAGATTTTTGGACTTTTTGACTAGCTTTAAAAAATTTCTAAGAGTTCGAAAAAAACAACAAAAATTTCGTTTTCTTACAGAAACCCTATTGAAGGCATGTTAAAAAAGTTTCGGAGATGAAATTATTTATTACAATTATTTTATTAAAAAAAAAGCCAACAGCACGCGGTATTCCCAAGCGGTCACCCATCCAAGTACTAACCGCGCCCAAAGATGCTTAACTTCAGTGATCGGACGAGAACTGGTTTTTTCATCGTGGTGTGGCCGTTGCCTGTGAACTCAAGTGTTGTAAAAGTTTCACATTAATACATGAGCAAACTGTCTAGATACTCTTTCTTGTAAATAACGTCTTTTTCGATTTTCACACGTTTCAAATAAGTACACTAGTAGCTTTCAATTTGAAATTCACTCAGTTTGAAGAAATTTTGCTTCCTCTCAAAGGAAGCCTTATAGTGATGTCGATTTCAGCGTTTCTTAGAATCAATTATTTTTACAAATTTTCAATTGCAGTATATCAAGAGGAAGAAATGTGTAAACTTATTTTTTTTCTGCAACTAGTAAGAAATGGTTGTTTTAACTATATAAATCATAAAAATAACAACTTTCAGAGGTTGTCTTTACTATATAAAAAAGTAAGCCTCGTTTCGTTTGCAACTAATACAAAATAGTTATTCTTACTAGCACTACTTAATCTTAGTTCCACTAACTGAGGAAGTGTAGTTAACCACTTGAGCGGCAGGGCGTCAGAATTGGCGTCAGCGTGCAAGTGACAGAAGCGGCAAAAATGCGAAAAAGGCGTCAAAATTTGACTACTATTTTCTCATTCTGTAAGGAGATTTATAATATCACAACAAAGTATTTTTCTTTCTTAAAGTGAAAGAACAGACCTGTAAGCAAAAAAAATGTTTTTTAAAATATTTAAATAAGTTTTCAAGGATCAAAGCTAACAATATTTAATAGTTTGATATTAGTGGCGTTTCAATTTCTACCACAAAAAGTCCAATTTTTCTTCACGAAATCGAAATATTTAAAAAAGCATTTTTTTGTTTAAAGATCTGCTCATTTACTTTAAAAAAGAAAAATACTTTGTTGTGATATTATAAATCTCCTTACAGAATGAGAAAATAGTAGTCAAATTTTGACGCCTTTTACGCATTTTTGCCGCTTCTGCCACTTGCACGCTGACGCCAATTCTGACGCACTGCCGCTCAAGTGGTTAAAATGCTGCTGTATATTGCAGTCTTAACTACTTTTTTGCAAACTACACATATGTGGTTCTTTTCACTATTCGCATTTCTTTCTGTGTACTAGGCACAAACAATATTCGTGAATTTTGAAAAGAAGAGCATTATGCATCAAATAATGTCTCGAATGTACGTATATGTGACTCACTATATTACTTACTGATTGATTGCACTTTAATGCTTTTATCATAAAACTATGTTATTGAAAAAATTATTCAAACGTAAAAAATATTTGGTGGCCCTGAAAAGGGCCGATTGTTTGGATGATGACGATGATGAGTAAATTAACCGCCGAAACCGTAAAGAGTACGGCCTTGACGCTTGAGAGCATAGACGACGTCCATGGCGGTGACGGTCTTCCTCTTGGCGTGTTCGGTGTAAGTGACGGCGTCACGGATCACGTTCTCAAGGAACACTTTCAAGACACCACGGGTCTCTTCGTAAATCAATCCTGAGATACGTTTCACTCCACCTCGACGAGCCAGACGACGGATGGCGGGCTTGGTGATACCTTGGATGTTATCACGCAACACTTTGCGATGGCGCTTTGCTCCTCCTTTTCCCAATCCCTTTCCTCCCTTTCCACGACCAGTCATTTTCACAGAGAATAAGGTTTACGTTCGAACAGAACAGAAAACAAACTCGGAATGATGCTAAGCAGTGGAAAGTGCACTGTTTTATTCCCTCTAGAGTTCCACTGCTCCCCTCCACAATCTGACCGACCAATCAGGATATCAATGTCCCCTTCCCCTTGACCAACGGTGCAAGAGCTTCAGAAAGCTATAAATATGTGCGTTCATATCGCCGAAATCATTTTCCAGTCGTCCCTCGTACTCTGAACTTCTAAGCAATGGCTCGTACCAAGCAAACCGCGCGCAAATCCACTGGTGGTAAAGCACCAAGGAAGCAACTCGCCACCAAGGCCGCTCGTAAGAGTGCGCCTGCAACCGGTGGAGTGAAGAAGCCCCATCGCTACAGGCCCGGAACCGTCGCTCTCCGTGAGATCCGACGCTACCAGAAGAGCACCGAGCTCCTCATCCGCAAACTGCCCTTCCAACGCTTGGTCCGTGAAATCGCTCAGGACTTCAAGACCGACCTGCGCTTCCAGAGCTCCGCCGTGATGGCCCTCCAGGAGGCCAGCGAGGCCTACCTCGTCGGTCTCTTCGAAGACACCAACTTGTGCGCCATCCACGCCAAGAGAGTCACCATCATGCCAAAAGACATCCAGTTGGCCCGTCGTATCCGAGGAGAACGCGCTTAAATTTCCTTGCCACTCTCAAAACACAATCGGCCCTTTTCAGGGCCAACAAATTTCTTACGTTGAAATATTTTTAATTCTTATACAAACTATTCCTTTCCTTACTATTCTATAAACAAACTTTTTTCGTATTGATTAACTATGGATAATAAATGAGAAATAGTTTTAAGTAGTGTAATAATTCACTATTTGGTTATTAGAAATATTACTAATTGAATCACTGATTTTGTAATATGAGAAAAAATTTTATGAAGATTTGATAAAGATATAAATTAATAATTAAAGCAAAAATTGTCCAGTGAAAATTTTATAAACACTCATTCATATGAAAAAAGGACAGCTTTTAGATTACATAATTTTATTATTTTCCAACTCATGATGTTTTCATCTATATTTCATCCCTATGATCAAAATTTATGTTGCAGCCGGACGTCAATTTTCTTTAACATTTTTCTTATAACTAAAAAATTTTATTTTTTATAAAACTAAAAATTAATATTAAAATCTATACTATACTGATTGTTAAATTGCATAAGAATAGATAAAAATTGTAAAAGAGAGTTGAAATTTGAATTCTTTTAAGAATTTTGGGGTTTACTAACAAATTTTAGTTTTAATGACGCAATGTAATTTTACATAGTGAGTAATGTTAAAAAATGTACCCGGAACAACGTAAATTCATATGGGTAAAATATTACTTGTGCGTCGCCATAATTATTTATACTTTATTAATTTAATAGAATTATTCAACATTAAAACAATAAATGTAAGATATTTATTTGTTTTTAATTGTACTCCATGTAAAAATTTAAAAACTAAGAATTTTAATTTTTTTAAACCGTAATAACAGGTATTCTAGAGAAAGTGAAAAACCTAATATTTACAGCACTCAAACATACACTTGGCTGTTATCAAATCAATCATTCAAAGTACATTTTTTTACAAAAAAATATTCTAGAAACTTATTAAATTTGATATAAATGATGTTGAAAATTTGTTTACAACTTTTTATTATTGGTCTAGACAATGTACTCCATTGTGTGCCGAAAGTAAGAACTTATACCCGAATTGAGGCTACTTTACCTCATTCAATTTATAATTCAAAGTAAAATAAGTTTTATATTAATAGTGTAAATTTCCTTCCGAATGTTTTTAATAAATTTCAAAAATTTGATCCATGGAAGGTAAAAATAACATAAATAAAATAAATTTATGTCATATTTTTTGTTTATTTAAAAACAGCAACTTTAAAAGTTGAATAATTAAATACATCAATACAAATTAAGTTGCAGATATTATCTGCAACATTTCAGATAATTCATTTCATTAACATCAGAATATACAGTTATTCTTCTCTTATAAATTAGAAACTTTGTTTCAATCAATACAACAGATGTGACTTGTTAAATATACTGTCTATATAGCGAAACATAGAAATTTTTCTGCACATCGAATTATAGAACTTGTGGTAAAGAATAACTTAAATTGCAAACAATCAAAGAACACGAATTCAAAAAATAATTTAATAATTTTAACGAAACGCATCTGCTACGAAAAATTATGCATTAGATAAAAGACAATTTGTCAAGATAATCAGACTAAACGTTACTAAAGCATATAATATTATAGTCATTTTGTTATTATACCATAAAATATGATTAAAAAAAATTTAAATACAATTCAACTAAAATTAAGGAAAAGGAAAAGGAAAAAATATCTTGAATGTTGCCAGAATATATATCTATATCTCATGCATTTACGTCTAAATGGCAGTACAAAATTTCTGCAAAAAAGAAATATTGTTTAAAAATATACGAAATCGCATATTAGTGATAATAATAAATTGTTCAGAAATTTTTTATTATTCAACTACACATTAATCCACGCGCCACCAAACTACATTGAGAGCTAGAACTCAAAACAAAATTAAACTGCTCTCAATGTCTTTAGTTTATATTTACTAATAAAATAAGTTAAATACTCCACAAGAGTGATAACCAAAGCGTTGATATTAAAACTGAAATATTTAAAACTTTAATTTGTCAGTATATTTTTAACAATTTTCCAAACTTGTAACGTCCGTTCACTTATAGCAGAGGCCCGGAAAGTATTGATTTTTGCAAGAAACTACCACAAGATTAAAGAATATTTTTAAAGAACCGAGGAAGACAATATTCGTGCAAGTGAAATTCAATATATTATCAAAACGATAAGTATAATTTAATCATTAAAAAATATAAAATCTTTGAATGTGGTTCGCAAGTTAGCGACAATTTAAACGGCAGACGCCCAACGAGCGTCGGGGTCTTTCTTCAACGTTCGTGCGTTTTACTAACACCCGACTCTCTTCGAAAAATGGTCACTTCAGTCTCACAAGTCACGTTGAGAGCATCACTGAGTTTACTTGAACTTTTTTGAAAACTATCTCCACGAAATGGCAGACAAAGTAGAATCCCCAGCCGCACCTGCAGTGGCGACTCCGAAGAAAGCAGCCAAGGCGCAGAAGCCCCGCGCCAAGGCCAGTCACCCGCCAGCGTCGGAGATGGTGAACGCGGCCATCGCCACTTTGAAGGAGAGAGGCGGCTCTTCGCTCCAAGCCATCAAGAAGTACATCGCCGCCACCTACAAAGTCGACGTCGAGAAGCAGGCTCCCTTCATCAGAAAGTACCTGAAGGCTGCAGTCGCCAGCAAGGCTCTGATCCAGACCAAGGGCAAGGGCGCTGCAGGGTCCTTCAAGTTGAACGTCGCCAAGGCCGAGGGCAAGGCCAAAGCCAAGCCCAAGACCAAGACTGCCGCCAAACCCAAAGCTGCTGCAGCACCAAAGGCCAAGAAAGCAGCTTCTCCGAAGAAGGCCGTGGCAGCCAAGACCAAGAAAGCCGTCGCCGAGAAGAAGAAAACCCCGAAGGTTGCGGCCAAGCCACCGAAGGCCAAGTCCACCACCGCCAAACCCAAGGTGACCAAGGCTGCTCCCAAGAAGGCGGCCAAAGCTTCGCCCAAGAAGGCTGCAGCGCCCAAAGCGAAGAAGCCCGCGGCAAAGAGGGTTGCCAAGAAGTAAAGTGAAAAGAAGTTGATATTGGATGATTGAAAACAAACGGCCCTTTTCAGGGCCACCAATTGCTTTTTACGAAAGAATTTTCTTTGTCTCAAACAAATATTTAGAATAGTAGTCAAGTCCGAAATAATTAATAATAATTTAATTCTTATATTTATCAAAATTTTAAAAAAGTACTACAATAGGCGATTCCACGTTACCTTTTAGTATCCATTCTAATTTAGGATGGAAATATTTTTTTTCTGTTTACAAAAAAATGGTAAATCTGTATTTTTTTATTAGTAGACAAATTTTTAGGTTGTACATTTAAAAGAATTTAATTTTCTAAAAGTAGACTTATTCACAATTATTTATAACTCTAAAACTACCTATTGAATTTAGAAAATTCTGACAAAAACTTCATCTCTAAATCAATTATTTTTAAATAATTTTCCGAAAGTTCTACTAGAATAAATTTAATTAAAATTATTAAATTATTATTTAAAAATTGAGTTTTTGTATTTTTAAATAATATAATATAAAAAATCAATTTTTTATAGTCCTTGTCACTGTAAAAATATTTAAATTTTTGGAAAATATAAATAAAAAAGTTGTGAATCCAGATGTTGATTACATGAATATTTTGCCTTCTCTTTACGGTGAGCAAAAAAAAATTTCCTCCACGAGGAAGCAAAGCAATTGAACTTTTGAACAATTTTAATTATAAATTTTATTTTACTTTGTTCAAAGATAATTGAATCTTAAAAATTGTAATAAAACAATGGTAAGAATTAGGTTTTCCAAAATAATTGAATTTGTTCAAATGTAATTTTTTGTATATGTATTTAAATATTAATATTTTTAAAATATTATTGTATCTCGTTTTCAGGTATTACACGTACTTTAAAAACCGCACCGACTTTAACTTAAAAATAAAGTCTTTCTTTTTCGAAAATGAGAAATAAAGCAAAATGTCAGTGGTGTCCCTTGTCAGTGGTGTCCCCTCAAAATTCTGTTTCTTGCAGCTTATTATTTTATTTTTAATAAATTTGTGTTAAATTTACTCCTTATAGGGTAAGTGTACCAATTGCCGAGGGTGTTCCATTTGTCGATGTTACCATGGTAATAACCAAAAAATATTGTCTAAAATGTCTCATTTGTTTGTTTATATAATATTAATATATTTTTTTCACATTTATAACGCATAAAAAATTAATATTTATTACTTTTTTTCATTTACAATGTGCTACACTGTTTAAATAAAATTCAAAGTTTGTTTACTCGACAACAGGAACCATCCTCGACAATTGGTACGTTTACCCTATGCAGTTAATGAAGATATGATACTGAATTGTAATTTATAGGCTGATTTTATTCTCA